GACTTTTTGGGCTCCTGATTTTGGGGTGACTTTTTGGGATCTGGATTTTGTGGTGCTGATTTTGTGGCAAAGTTTTTGGGGTGATTTCGGGGCGATTTTTTTGGGGCGCCTTCCCCGGGTGGGCGGACGGACACTGACGACGTCACAGCGATGACGTCACGCCGACAGCGATGTCACACTGATAACGACATCGCCGATGACGTCATGAATGACTTAACGACTCTCTAATTAGGATTTGCTTTTCTGGAGTGGGAGCTCAAGGCAGAATCCAGCCTCGGGTTCCCGTCACGGCCACCTGTGGCACTGCATGACGTGACAATGTCACACTGCCAATGTAATTGATGTCATTGATGACGTCACCAATCACATAATTAATCCCTAATTAGGTTTTGCGTTCCCCGAGTGGGCGCTCAAAGCAGAATCCAGCCCGGGGCTCCCGTCACACCCAGCTGTGGCACTGTGCGGTGTCACAACGTCACACTGACGATGATATCACGCCGATGACGTCACCGATGACGTCACCAATCACATAATCAATCCCTGATCAGGGTTCGCGTTCCCCGAGTGGGCATACAAGGCCGAGTCGAGCCCCAGGTTCCTGTCACACCCAGCTGTGGCACTGTGCGGTGTCACAATGTCACACTGACAATGTCACACAGACAATGTCACACAGACAATGTAATCGATGTCACCGATGACGTCACCAATAATATAATTAATCACTCATTAGGTTTCGCGTTCCCCGAGTGGGCGTACAAGGCCGAGTCGAGCCCCGGCTCGCGGCAGATCCAGCTGTGGCACTTCATCCTGGAGCTGCTGCGGCAGGAGCAGTACCGCGAGGTCATCGCCTGGCAGGGCGACTACGGCGAGTTCGTCATCAAGGACCCCGACGAGGTGGCGCGGCTCTGGGGCGTGCGCAAGTGCAAGCCCCACATGAACTACGACAAGCTCAGCCGCGCCCTCAGGTTGGTAAAATAAATATTCCGCTTTTTTTCCCCTTTTTTCCCTTTTTTCCCTTGAAAAATTGGGGATTTTCCTGCTGAAATTTGAATTTTTGGGTTTTTTTTCCATTGGAAATTCAGGGTTTTTTCCCCATGGAAATTTGGATTTTTTTTTCCCCATTTTTCCCCTTGGAAATTGGGTTTTTCCCCATGGTAATTTGAATTTTTAGGGTTTTTCCCATGGAAATTCGGATTTTTGGTTTTTTTCCTTGGAAATATGTGTCTTTTTCCATCGAAATTTGGATTTTTTTGACTTTCTTTCCCTTGAAAAGTTTGGTTTTCCATCGGTCTTTCTCATGGAAATTTACTTTTTCCCTCCTTTTTTTCCCATGGAAATTTGAGATTCTTCCCATGAAAATTTGAATTTTTGGCAGTTTTTCCCATAGAAATTTGGTTTTTTTCACTTTATTCCCATTGGAAATTCAGAATTTTGGGGGTTTTGGGCTCCTCTCTCAGGGGTTGGGTTTTGGCTCTGGGGCGTGCGCAAGTGCAGCCCCACATGAACTACGACAAGCTCAGCTGCGCCCTCAGGTACCGAAAAATAAAATTTTTGGGATTTTTTCCCTTTTTTGCCCTTTTTTCCCCTCAAAAAATTGGGGTTTTCCCCATTGAAATTTGAATTTTTGGCCATTTTTCCCACGGAAATTTGATTTTTTCCCCTTTTTTCCCTTGGAAATTGGGTTTTTCCCCATTGAAATTTGAATTTTTGGCCATTTTTCCCACGGAAATTTGATTTTTTCCCCTTTTTTCCCTTGGAAATTGGGTTTTTCCC